TAATAACGTTTTATTTTTAGAAAAGGATTTTATGTACAAAGTTAATTTTCTATAAATTAATTTAGGAAAAACTGTTATCTTCTTACTGTATGGTATATTTCTCAATGTATTCAGGTCTTCATTTATATATTAGCACAATTTTATACTTTAAAAATTATAGAAAAAGAACCTACACATTTTTTGTCAAGGGAATTGTTACATATTTGGTAGTTTGTTGTAAATGTTTTATGCACGTGTTTAAATTGATTTACAGGTGTAACAAAATTCTAATTCTAGTATTTTTTATTGATTTAGTAATGATCCTAAAATTCATCCTAAAATAAACAGATAAGAGTAGCTAGGAAACATATGAATAGACTTTGCCCTAGTTGATATTAAAACACACAACACAGGTCTAGTAAGTATAGGTAACAAAAGAATGGACAGATCAATGGACAAAATAATGAGATCAGAAGTAAAACCTTATATATGTACTGTATATATTTAAACATAATAACATCTGATAAAGAAGGCACCACAACAGTGGTGAGAAGAAGAGGAATTTTCACAACTGGCAAATCAGTTTGCCGTTTTTAGTGATTTGGAACAAATCAGTTTAGATTCTTAACTCTCACTAGATGGATTAAAGAATTAAATGGGGGGAAACTTAAGCCATAAGAACTAAGACCAAATTCTGGTGAATATATCTGAGAAATGAATTTGTAGATCTAAGAAAAAAACTCAATAGTTCATTGTCATAAAAAATTTAAACTTCTGAACATAAAAAAAGGCAAACAAAGATATAAAAAACTACAATTAGCTATAATTATGACTTTTGTAATACCATCTGTCTCCTCATTCCTACAGAGTAGAGGTGAGGGCTTGTCAGCTGTTTCAGTATAGGGTGAGCATAATAAAATACTTTGTGCCTATTGACTCAGGCTTTGAAAATTCATTTCTGCAAAGTGTGCAAAATATTAACCGATACCATTTATTGAGCATATATTCTGTGGTAAGCACTGTGTAGACAGAGTCATTTGACCATCAGGTGGGTATCATTACCAATTTGGCACAAGCTAGGGAGATATACTCACAGTTGGCCTGCATAAATGTCAAGTAAATTAGACATTAAACTTCTAGGACTGATCACTGTCCCTGGGTTTTTAGTTTGGCTTGAATGAATAAGACTGTATAGCTATAGTTACAATACCTAATGAACCTTACCTCTGCTCCCCTAAGAGATAAAATATAAGTGATCCTAAAAAGCTGACTGAGGCCAAAATCAGAGACAATAGACATTTTTAAAGAGGCTCACTGTAGGATTTGAGTGTATATTCAGTTTAAAGTCAGTGGGGATTGTTTATCTCCTGCCAAAGCCAATTACAAATTTGGAGGGGTAGAACATTCCTCATGATGCTGGAATAGGTGAGAGTAGGTCCTGTCACAGCACTACTGAGGGGGGTGGTCAGGATCCATAGCACCGCGGTTGACCAAGACAACTGGAGACTCCTTTAGTTGCAAAATTACTTTTTGCTGTGGCTGCTTAACTAACTCCTAGTGTCAAAATATTGTCATCTTTGGATGAGATCCAAGGAACAGCAAGGATGATAAAAAAAAAGGTTAATCAAGCAAGAAAATGTGATTACATCATTCAAAAGAAACCCCAGTAATTTTAAAGACCATCTGCTGTTTCAGGATAGACCTTACAAATAGGAATAAGAGGCTGATTTCAGAATAAATAATTTACTTTCTAGTGAGGTAAGATTTGTGTATTGATGTTTTCTGTTACAAGTAGAAATCACACAGGACACTTATTCTGAAATAACCTTACCAGGTGATTTTTCTATTTTTCATCATTGTTAAAATTCAGACTGTCCTCTAACAGTCCTTTACAGATTAAAAAGCAAAAGTATACATACTCAAAGATAGTTTTGATCCTGTTACTAAAAACTCATACACAAGAAGTCTGATAGTATCGGCCCAGATTATTTGGAAAGCTTTGAAAACCCATGGAGGAAAGCACATCTTCTCTGTAAGTGCTTCCACTTTTCCTATTGGGTAACTCAGATGGGAAGCAAGTAGAACCCTAGTGAGCACAGGGTGACGCTGAGTTGACAGATGTGGCTTAGATTCAGGCTGAATCCTGTTCGGGGTGTGATTTGATGCTCTTTTTATAGTAGGGATTCCTTCTCCAGCCCCACTTTCAGAGCAGATACAGAATTTCTATTTTCTCAGTTCCACAGGGCAACCCACAATACAACCTGTTAATGTGTCCTGATTACCACAGTATCATTTTGAGAACATTAGATACTATCAACAATGCCCATGGAGTTCACAAACCTACGACAGAGTAAACTGCCTCCCTGAACTCTCTAGAAACAGGGCAGTGGTTCCCATCTAAAGGCAGAGGGGCCTGGGACCTATCCCACCTCCTGGCCCTCCAAAGAGGATTGTTCCAGCACCAGGGGACATATTAGAGCCAGGCATACAGAACAGGCTTTGGAATCAGCTCTGGATTCAAGACCTAGATGTGCTGATTAGAGCTGTGTGAACCTGGGATAAATTCCTGAAGCTCTGAGTCAGAGATTAGGATGGTCTGCAGGACCCCTTAAGAATGTTGTGAGGACTAAATGAGAGACCACCTGAAGTGCTTATTCTGTTGCCTCTCGGTAAGCATACAGTGAATAGGGGGGTTGTCATTATGACACCTGTTGGCCCCTATTTGAGACCACATCCTTTGGGTTTAAGTGCTGAGCTACTGAAAGGACCCTTGACAAGTAGTTTCCCCTACAAGCAGTCCTGGAGAAAAAAAATCACATTTAAGTTACTTATGCTGAACCCTACCACTTCCCTCCTTCCTCCCAATTCTCCACATAGCAAAAGTCCTTCATTTCTGCCTCTATGTTCATGTTTACACTCCAAGCACAGGTTGTCAACTAAAATCCAGATGAGGGGTGAAGGTCCTTGTAAATTCTAGGCCCAAGAGTGTCTAGTTGCAAATGGTTATAGCCTCATGATTAAGACTAAGCATGGACTTTGAAACGATACCTGAACAGGAACCATTTCCCTCACTTCCCCTTTCACCACTTAGTCTTAAGTGAACATGGCCAAATTAGCTTCTTTAAACCTACTTTCTTGTTTATACAAGGAGATAATACCTAATTGAGTGGTTGAAAGGATTAAATGAGATATTTATATCTCAAGTGTTTAGCATAGTTGCTGGCAAGGAGTAGAAGCTCAATTCATCACTATTGAATCCAATTCAAAAAATGCTAGGTAACTGCAGTCTTTTTGGTGCATCAAAACTAGCAAGTAAGTTAAAACTAATCAAAAGGTAAACTTTCCAAACAAACATTGGTGAATATACGTTCTGCTTAATAAGGTAAACCATTTATACTAAATAAGCTTCCTCTAGGAAGGACGGAAAGGAGAGGAAGAACCAACTTTTCGATAACCTGTAGGATATTACTATGATGTGGGTAATATTAACCTTCCTCTTAACAAATTGGGAAAACAGGATTAGGCCAAAGTATGTGAGAGAAGCAATAAGTGTCAGAGGAAGAATTTGATCACAGGTCTGTCTGAGCTAGGCTGCCCATCATTTTGCCCTCTTCTGCTTGCCCTGATTGTTCAGTTTATCCGGTTTATTCAAGGGCATGCCTTCTAAATAGGGTTCTCAGGAAGCCACTGTTGAACTAATGAAGACCATTTACTCCCATTGGACGAGAAAAAGGATTTTAGTCCCGAGGAGTGTGAGATTTGGTTGTCTTCTCATTTTTCCAGTGGTGATTAAAAAAAAAAAGAAAAGAAAAGAAAAAAGCAATAGCCACTCCATTACAGTGACTACTCACTCAGTCTGCCTGCCTGCCTGCCTGAAACGCTCCAGGTAGATTAATTTTTGAAGTATGATTCACCTCCCCTTTCCTGTTTTGATGGAACACGGAGACTGAACCATTCCTGTCAATAAAAAGCTCGAGTTTCCACCCTGCAAATTTGCACTATGACAGTCTAATTGGCTGACGTGCAGGTGGGATTTCCTGTCGTCATTTTAAGGAAACAGAACTCTGCAAGGAATTGCCCAATTAAAAGAGGCTGAAACAAAGAGTGAGCAAAAGAAAACGAAACGGGCCCAGTTGCCCAGTCTCCTTCATCCTGCTCCCTCACTCTCACTGTCCCCCGGATTTGGAGCGCCTGGCAGAACCACGTGGGGGTATCCTGGCGGGGGACAATCAAGCCCCTTTGCGCCTAGGCCCGTACGCTGAGCTCGGAAAATCCTTCGGGTCCTGTTACACCCCGTCCCCAAAACAGCTCCATAGCACAGATCTCGGGGAAGGCTGGCGGGGTCTCCGGGTGCTGGATCCGGAAGAGAGGAGGCACCTCCCACTGCAGGTTAAGGACAAAGGCTTTCCAAAGGTGCCCGCGCGACCCGCTGCCCCGGTTACTTCGGCCCCCTTCCCACCAACCCACGTTGTCTCCTGGCTGTACCCCGAGCCAACACACGGCCCCATCGCTGCCGGCGCTGACAGCGGCTCGCGGGGTTGCTGGCGGACCAAGCCACTGCAGCGGCCATCCTCGTGCTGCGCCCTTCCCACAATGCAACTCCCCTTGCTCCCGTGGCCTGACTGGACTCTGGTGTACCCCAATGTGCACCCCCAACCAAGCGAACAGCCCTCTTCTCGGCCCACGCCTTCCTAGCCGTCCCACTCCATCCCCAAGGGCTCCCAGTCTCCAGCCGCCGCCGCAGCCCAGTTCTGGGCTCGCTGCCGGGTCCCAGGAGGACGTGGGGCAGGTGTCCAGGCCGCGCGCAGCCTCCACTCCTGGTGCCACCGTCAGTGTGCCCAGCACACGCACGCTCCGCACCGCCCCCCCACCCCTACCCCTTCCCCGATGCTCCGTCACCGCCAGCCGGGGTCGCTGTATCCTCAGCGAGCGCGCGGAGAGGGAGGCAGCAGGCGCGGCCGCCAGCAGAGACACCATGTGACGGGCATTGCTCAGTGACATGCAGCTTTGGTTAAAGAGCGGGCGCGCGGTAGGGGAGGGGACGACGCACAGGACACGGAGGAATGGCCTGACTTTCTGCGTTAAACCATCACGAGCCATGGATGCGCAAGGGCAACGCGCCCCCCAGTAGGAGAATGACTACGATTCGAGACCCTCAGCGCCCGAGCGTGTCGCAGTAAGTGCGAGGTTGGCGGGCAGAATGTGGGTGGAGGGGGTGGGGGTGGGGCGGGGGAGACTGATGCAATCCGCCCCGAAAGGAGGAGGAGAGCCAGGAGAGCGCGGGCTGGGGCCGCCAAGCCACTCTGCCTGAAGGTCGCCGGGAACCTCCGCCCTTCATCTTCCTCCGAAATCCGCCAGGCCACACCAAGCTTCCCTGCCCAGCCCTCGCTGACGGAGGCCACCTTTTCTCAGCAGAGGCAGCCAGACCTTGACACAAAGGACATCACACTGCTGGAGGAAAATCCGAAAGGGCGGACACCTTGACGTCTCTCCTTTTGCTACTTTTCCCTTTATTGCCGGAGGTAGGGTGATTTTCCTTACCCAGGAGAGCAGTGGAGAGGCGGCGGGAGGAAAGGGATGTTTTAGGTGTGTGAGGAGGAGGCGGTTAACGTAGAAGTCATCCATGCGAACGTGAAAGAAGCGGTGCGAGCCCTTGCCTTGCCGGGTGCGTTCGGTTTTCTTTTGGGAAAGGAAAAGTCCAGGTCCCCTGTTCTTCCGAACGTAAGCGGCAGCGTAAGGAGACGCAGAGGCCCCGGATTTCACCTTTGCGTGGGCTATGACTTACTTTTTGGGTCTATTTTCGTAGTGGCAACGTGTGGCACCGGATCTGGTTAAATTATACGAGGGTCAGGGACCACGCGGGTCTGGAGGGATAGCGCAGCCGACTTGAGGGCGCGACTGTATACCCGAGAAGTGTTTGCATCCCGGGCATATGGGGAAATTTCCTGTATCTGCAGGGCCCAGTGGAAAGCGTGCGATGTCCTGCGGGTGTGTGTGTGGCGGGCTGGGTCTCGGAGTCTGGCCGCAGAGCGCGAGTAAACCCGAGCACATGTGCCTCCCCTGTCTCGAGCTCTGCCCCTCTCTCAGTAAGAGAGGAGTAGGAGGATGTAGGGCGGAGATTGCTAAAGGATGCTGGCAGTGACTCACTGTCCTTTCCCGCCTTGACTACATTCTTTCCAAAATGAGGAAGGGGAGAAGGAGAAATGCTGTTTTGGGAGCCGGGATCCCCTGAAGCTGGCTAACGAAAGGCCACCGCTTGCGCAGGGTGCGGGCGCAGACTGCCCTCGCCTTCACTCCACCTCCTCCCCGACCTGGCACCTTGCTCGTGTCCCTAAATGTTGCCACAAAAGGCCTTTAAACTCTCCATGTCAGTGCGGGGAGGAAAGCGCACCTCCGCCTTAGGGCGCGCCCCGGGGCGCCCCGCGTCCAATCCGCCTCCCAGAGCGTCGGGCTCCTCAGCACCCACTGGGACCCCAGATAATATGGGCGCTGCTTCCCTGCAGAATTGCCTGCCCCTGGGTTTGGGCAGAACAGTAGTCAGAGAAGGTAGAAGTGCATATGGCGGCAAAAGGAATTTCGCGGTAACAGCGTCACGGCGTTTCGGTTTGCCTTTCACAGGCTGTCTTCGACTGGGGAAGGTGGTGAACAGTTGAGAGTCCTTTGTGTCTCGCTCTGCGATGCAGACCCAGTTTTTATCGCACTGTTTTTCCGGTGGAAACCTAACTGCCGCCAGGATCACCTACTTTCTCAGACTAATCCATGGTGATGTATGTAGTTAAGAGTAAAAAAGACCCTAGCGCTAGGAAATGGTATTTATGGATTTGACACCTCTGCAGTGGGTTTAATTTTTTTAGAATAAATCTATGGTTTGCAGACTGCAGGGCCCAGCGAGGCTGTAATTTGTCACCTTGATAGAAAAAAATGTTGCAGCAACTCGTGCTTTTTCTGACGTCAGAAAGACAACGGAAATAAAACCTGAGCTAGGTGGCTGGCTGGTCTCATTGTTAAACATCTCACGCAGGGTGGGGACTCCTGAAATCTAGGCGGAACAGTCCAGTCAGGGCACTGGTCCCTGTGGGCCCCCCTGGATTTTGGTTTAGCCGCCATCTCAAGTGGCTTTACTCTTCAGTCACTTCAATTCTTAGTATGTCGCGGTAGGCATCTGGAAAGCCTCCTAGTTTGATTTGAAGTCTTAACCTTGATGAGGTTTATCCGATTTTTTAAGAAAACATATTCAATAAATATTTCCTACTGAGGGCTTATTTTGTGGCAGGCAGCAACTAACAAAATAAAGTTCCTGCTTCTGTGAGGCTTCTTTCTATTCTGGGTGAGTGTGTGTGTGTGAGGGGGGGGACAAACATAAACACATGTATAAAAGAGTTTCAGATATTAGTGTGACGAAATAAAACATCATGTGGTGGAGGGTGCTTGAGATAGATGACCCTCTAGGAGGACGTGTGAGAGAGGGTGACATTTGTCCTGAGACTGGGAGGCCAGGCATCCGAATATAGCTTGTCTTTTCCTTCCTCAGGATGATACTTGAAGGCAAAACCAGTTTTACTCATCACTGTTCCCTGGATGTCCAGCACAGAGTAGCTACTTAATAAATGCCTGTTGGATTGAGATCTTGGCCAAGCTCTATGTCATTTACCTCTTTATGCTATTGTTGACCAGTCCTTTCTTTCTGTATCTCCTTATTTGTTCCCCTTCTCTTAAGTTAAAACATTAATCTTTTTCTATTCTGCTTCTCTCTCTCTTCTGAGCAATTACCAGGCCCCTTTTTAAAAAATTAATGAATTAATTTCTTAATGGTGACATTGGTTAACAAAATCCAATAAGTTTCAGATGTACACTTTAACAGTAAGGCATATATATATATATTTACACTGTGTGTTCACTTCCCATAGTTAGATTTCTTTCTGTCACCACATATTTGACCCCCTTTAACCCCCCTGCCTCCTCCCTCCCTACATCCCCTACCCTCTGATAACCACTAGTCTATAGTCCATGTCCATGTTTGTTTGTCCTGTTCATTTGTTGCTTTTAGGTTTATATTCCACATATAAGTGATATCATGTGATTTTCAACTTTTTCAGTCTGGCTTATTTCGCTTAGCTTGATTATCTCAAGGTCCATCTATGTTGTCACAAATGGCAGTATTTCATCTCTTCTTATGGCTGAGTAATAGTTCATTGTATATATGTACCACAGCTTCTTTATCCAATCATCTATTGTAGGACACTTCGGTTGCTTCCATGTCTTGGCCACTGTGAATAGTGCTGCTATGAACATCGGTGTGCAAATATCTTTTTGGATATGGGTTTTCAAGTCTTTGGGGTGAATATCTAGTAGAGGGATTGCTGGATCATATTTACCAGGCCCTTGTAAACCTGTTTATCTCCATTCCCACTGCTCAAGTCCAAGTCTCTGTCACCTGACCTAGACATGGCAATTCAAGTACTGTGTTGTGATATAAGAATCATGAAACAGACATGGAGGTGCCCTGAAGAAACCAGAGCTCAGGGAAGAAGCAAGCCCAGCACGTGGTAAAGAGTGAAGTAGCTAATTGATGAGTTATAAGGACTTTCTAGTCCGTTTCCTCCATATCAACTTCGCTCCCCAAATTCAATCTCGACACTTCCATGAGATCTGTATTTCTAAAACTCAGTTCACATTTATTTAATGACCCTACTTCTAGAAATCTTCAGTGGGTTTCCATTGCCTGTAATTAAAGTATAAATTTCTTAAGCAGGCACTCAGGACCCTCCACAATATGACTCCTCGCCTCTTTCCATCTCTTTGTCCTAATTCACCCCGTGCCTTCCCTGTCACTCTTATGCCTCAACATCAGTGTCAATTCCAGACTGGAATGCCTACTGAAATCCTATATATTTGTGAAGGCATAACTCAAATGCCAATTTTCTGCCCCTTCAGATAAGTGTTCACTGATCACCTCTTAGCATTTTCATAAAGATTTGTTTATTGTTTACTTTTTGCACTATCGTCACTACAGGTGATGGAAGGCAGAGGATAAAGCCATTGGCTTTGAGTCAAATGTAAATACAGTCAGCCTTTGGTATCTGGAGGCTCTGCATCCCTGGATTCAATCAACTGTGGATCAAAAATATGTTTTTAAATGTTACATTGTTGCTGATATGTACTATGTAGTTATGGCTACTTTGGTTACATCTATTTTGAACATGTATAGACTTTTTTTCCTTGTCATTATTCCCTAAACAATATAGGGTAGCAACTATTTATATATCATTTACATTGCTCTAGGTATTATAAGTAATCTAAAGATGATTTAAAGTATTTGGGAGAATGCACTTAGGCTATATACAAATATTACACCATTTAATATAAGGGACTTGAGCTTCCATGGCTTTTGGTACTCAAAGGGATCCTGGATCCACTCCTGGGATATTAAGGGAAGACATTCCACTCTAGGGACTTTGGGCAAGTTGTTTAACATCTCTAAACCTCAGGGGTTTTTTTTTGGTTTTTTTTTTTCATTTGTTTAATGAGAATTATGATAATGATGATGATGTTGATGGCAGTAGTCGTTCCCATCTTATTCAGTTATCCTGAAGATTTAATTAAGATAATGGATGTGAAAAGTGCTTGGCATGGTGTTAGCACTCTATATATATTGAATTAAAAGGGACTTCAGGTTTCTCATCTATCAGAGGAGGTGGGGAAAGTTGATCAGTCAAGTTCCCCTTACCTCTGCTATTCTATGACTACTTAATCATTTAAAAATACTTTTCTGAAAATAATATCTTGATGGAAACTACAGGAATCTTTTCAGTCTCTGCAAGAATATGCATCTGTAAAAGGTGGTGTGGGGGCGGGGGAAGTATGTGCATGGAAGTAAGCACATTCAAAGTCACATCATATACTTCAGAAAAGCACAGCTTAGAACGGTGACCCAAAACTGAGTTATTGTTATACTTATTTCTGAAATTTCATTACATCGTATTAATTGTTTTTCTAGTGACCAGTTGTGTGTTATGTTAGGGTTACTTACTAATAGTAAAGGAATTCATTGGTTAGGCATGCACCATCGTTTGGGGAAACTTGATCTCTTTTTCAAGTGAAGTTACAATGTGTCTTTGCCAATAACTAGCTGGGTACACTTGGGCAACTCATTCAACATTTTTATGCCTCATCTTCTCATCTGTCCAATGCTAATAATAGTATCTGAGCTGCCTAACTCACAGAGTTGGAAAGATACAATGAGAACAGTGCCTAGAAAATCTTTGAACAAATTAAAGGAATTATTCATAATGATAATCATCCAGAGTCAAAGACATTGCTAATGTTTTGAGGTTGGGTTTAGATTAGTGATTCTCAACTCTGGCTTCACAGAAGACTTACCTTGAGGTCTTTTAAAACCTATGAATGTCCAGACACTATTTTCAGAGATTCAGATTTAGTTGGCCCGGGGTAGAGCCCAGATATGAGAATTAAAACAAATAAACAAACAAACAACAAAAATAACAACAACAACTGAAAAAAAAAAATCCACTAGGGATAATTCTAATATTCAGTGGTTCAGATTTAAAAGCAGACAAATCAAAATCAGAAATTAAATGAAGACTGTCATATGTTATTTGATAAAGTCTTAGTAATGCTAAATCATGATGACTTTTCCCTTGATGGACTAAACTAACCAGTTGTAGACATCATGGAGCCACAGCCTCAGGTTACAATTTATAACCTGAATTTCCCCAGGCATAGAAGCCTACCCAGTGATACAGCCAGGGCCACATAAAGATTTAATGTGTGGATCTCAGTTTCCATCTCTTAGGAGTGACAAAGAAGATTGGGAAAGAAAGAGATAATGGAAAGCAAAAGAAAGGGGATAGGCTATGGCCCAGAGGTTTGGGAGGAAGAGACTCTGAGTGGGAGAGAGATGGGACAGAGTACAGAGAAAAAGTTGTTTTCTTTGTCGAACTGGTTTTGTTTAGAATGCAAACTGGTGACTATAGAACCAAATGAAGCCCGTGGGCATGTTTTGTGTGACCTATACTCTCTTTTAAAATTGTGTAGAATTAGTTGTCAATTTTAAATATCAGAATTTCATTTAAAATCTGAATCTCTGGAAATTTTTGGAAAAAAAAAAAGAATCAAAGGACCTAGCTTTTTTCCTACTGAAATAGATGGGACATGTGTTCTCCAGTTCTTTATGCCCAATATGTTTTGCTCATTTATCTTACCTACCTGGGCCCTCGCTGCATTTGTTTTTAACCCTTAGTATAAATCTGTAGATCTTATTTTTTATTTTTATTTATTTTTATTTTTTTAGGCAAAGCAACTCTTGGTTGACCTCACAGCATGAAAAGACCTTGTTGGCTTACAATCTCTTTTTTTTTAATTTTATTTTTTACGCCTACAGCACCTTTTAATTTTATTTTTTACGCCTACAGTCTTTCTAGGTGGTCTCCCATCCAAGTACTAACCAGGCCCAACCCTGCTTAGCTTCCAAGATGAGACAAGACCGGGCTTGTTCAGGGTAGCATGGCCATAGACTAAATCTGTAGATCTTAATGCTGGCTGCACATTAGGATACCTTGACAAACACTTATAATATCCATGTTTTGATCCCATCCAAGGCCGATCAAATTAGAAACTGGTGTGTGTTGGGGGCGGGGGGGAGGTTATCATTATTATTATTTTTAAAAGCTCTTGAGGTGATTCCTATTTCTAGTCAGTACTGAGGATTACTAGTCTAAGTTACCTATTCAAAAGATTTGACTACAAG